CCATGCCAGACTCGTCCCCCATGATCTTACTAAAAAGCTGCAGGGGTCTGACATCACCTCTGACAGCCGCCGCCTGGTATCTTCTATTCTGGCCTCCACTTCTTGGACCTTGAAGAAGACCTACCATCTGGGGACATTATGGGGAAGAGGGGGCTGTTTTGGAGTCTCCACCTGCTTGAGTGACGATGACGGGGCAGGAGGATAAGCGAGGCTGAGAGAACTGTTTGAAGAGCTGCATGTTGCGAGGTGGAGGCCGATGGGATGGCTGTCCTTGCTGTTTGTTGAGGGGGATGATGAAGATAGTGATGAAGAGCCCTTCTTGATGTTCAGCCTTTGAAGTGTCCTTGGAAAGAGACTTAACAAAAGATTTCATTAAGTGACGGTGGCGTGCGTGTGATGGTGCAACAGTGGTAGGCGCAGGAGTGGTTTCTCGAGACTCAACATCATTGGACAAGGACCTGACCAGGCTGAGGAAAGGTTTGGAGGAGGTCAGCGCTGCAGGCTTGCAAGGGGAGGAGCTGGAGCTGTGGACGGCGGATTGGCTGAGGGTCGGTCAGAGGCCAGGAGGAGCTCGCAGGAGGGTTGGAGCTCAGGTGGGTGGGTGGAGGTGGGATAATAGTCATGGCGAGAGAGGGTGTGTGGATCAGGTCTGAGGGCTGCAAAGATAGGGTGGTGGATGAAACAGGAAGCACCGCACTCCTGAGGTCTCCACACCAGCAGATTCAAAGCAGCTTCTTCTTTTGCCTCCAAGCCCGTAGTGATAGACTGGTCATCAGCCCCTGAAGCTTCTAAACCTTGAAGTCCCCCTGCACTACCAAGCCCAGATTTATCCCCAACAGATGCAACAGGTACCCCAGAGCTCCTCGTCCTCATCATCTTCCTCCTTCCCCAGAGCAGAGAAGTGGATGGTGATAGTGTCACGAGAGAGGGAGCGCTGCACCTGCAGCTTAGGTCCAGGGGCGTGACGAGGGGGAGGAGTGTCAGCATGCTGGCCACTTCCCCTGCTGCTGCTGCCCTGAGTGCTCATCACCACCCTGCACAGGGCTCACAGCCTGGGAGCGACAGACAGAGACATAAGCAATCCACTGTTAATAGCCACAGAAACGTTGGTAAGAAACATTTTGTGTGTAAGGAAGGAGGTTGAGAAAATGCAGTGCAAATCACTAATGTGATTAAATAACTTCAGAGATCCCCACATACACACACACACACACACACACAGGACATAGCATACAAGAGATCAGCCTCACAGCTCTTCATTCATTCTAATGTGAGTAGACCGGACAGGTATGTCCATGCTTCTCGATCATTAGCCCTCATTATGCAAGGCTGTAGCTGACAGACTCGCTCTCAGGCCTGGCCTCTGTGTCTTACAAGCATCCTACTCATTCACTCACCCCCGCTATGGCAACATGATTAATGGGTTACTTCAGAACACATGAGCCTTGAGGAGCAAGGCTGTATTTAACTCCACCCTCCATGGGGGGCAGACCTCAGCTGACTAAATGCTGTAAGGTGGTGAGGATGAAAAAGGACAAACAAAGGGAAGGCTGCTACTCTGACTAGTGGATGGATGAAATTATGATTATTATAACTTAAAACTGATTTAGTTTTGTCCAGTTGGGGGCAGTGCTATGAGTTGAAAATAATGCTGACATATTATCACCTTAAAAAGATATGGCATTACGGATTTTTTTCACACATCTATCACATACAAAGCGACAACAACATTCATTAGTGGACTTATTTCTGGCTACCTGTTGAAGTCAAGTGCTTGAAATGGTCTGGTATTCACCGGTACGCACTACCGGCACTTCTACCTTTTACTCCGTGAAGCTGCTGGCACTCTTTTCTGCCCACTCCATATCAGGTTCCCTAGGCGATTCAAAATAGCCCTAAATAAACTGCATTACCCATGGTGCACTACATTACTCTCACTTATTCCCATTGTTGTCTGCCTGCCTTTCTCTGTCGGCGGCTAGTCTAAGTAAAATTATATAAACTTTACAAAGCCTGGCTCTACAAGGGCACAAAGTCAACAGATCATTTGTGTCACACACTTAAAGGAATTAAGGGCAACCTTATTGGGTACCTTTTGTTGAAACATTTTCAACTTTTGTTTCTGGTCATTGTCACTTTTTGTGAACCGACCAATTACAGCCTGGATGGGGTAAATGTTGACCAGCTACAGCAAACTTTCAAATGTTGAACATATTAGGGACTAACTACCAGCCCATTTCCTTGCACATGGATTTAATAAAGAACAAAACACAGTAATTAACAATATAAATGTTGGTTGTGTATTTAAACTGCTGCATTGTACTAATACACTCATTTGTACAAGTTGTATGTGTTTGGGTGGGGGTACACGGCAACATGCAAATAAGGGGAGTTCTGGGACTTAGTGTTTTCCTCTTCAAACACTGGTGAAGTCAAGTATTTTCATTTTACCTGTGTTCTGGTCAACACCTACTCCAAAGGGAAATATCTGGATCTTTAAAGGCTAAATGTTATGTTTGTCTGTCTGTCTGCCATTTGTCTGTTTATTGAAAGCTTTTAATTGAGTGCTGCTGCTGTAAAAATGGTGACAATGAAAGCGTTGAGACTGAACCAAAACAGTACAGTTGAGGGCCATTAAACAACAATGACCGGAAAGATGCTCTTTATAACTGAGGGCAACTGCAGAGTCAGGTGATAATTCTCTGAGGGTTTGACATTAAGAGCAACATCCTTCACATTGCACAAAGTCATTTAACCCATTGTTGATGTAAAAAGATTAAAACTGAGGGTGGAGATATTGTGTGTCCAAACTCATTTAAAATGATCAACCTCAAAATGCAGAGATTTAATCAACAAAAATGCAATCAATATCAGTATTTTGCTCATTTATATTTATAGCCCAATATTGTTCTGATACAGCTCATTTCATTTGTTTTTTCTGTCTTTTAGTCCTTAAATTGTGTCTTTTACCAGGCTATGACTGTCATGTATTGCATTATTTTTGTGCTTTATGGGGCTCTAAAAACATAAACATAAATATAAAAAAAAGCTCTTTCCCCAACCCAAGCACAAATATATGCAGAATATAATTGAACTATTAGGCTCCAGTGATCACAGGAACAAGGCTTCTATTGTACAGTCTCAACACAGCGGAAACAAAATCATTCAAGTGATTTCACTGAATGAGGCCTCAAGTTGTTATTGAGTTATTGTGCCCGTTCATTCCTCCACATTGCATAGAGTCCATCATGCCTGGTTAGCATTATCAAACAGGCAGCGCAAGACAAGCATGTACACACATATACAGTATCTCACAAAAGTTAGTACATCCCTCGCATTTTTGTAAATATTTGATTATATCTTTTCATGTGACAACACTGAAGAAATGGCACTTTGCTACAATGTAAAGTAGTGAGTGTACAGCTTCTATAACAGTGTAAATTTGCTGTCCCCTCAAAATAACACATCACACAGACATTAATGTCTAAACCGCTAGCAATAAAAGTGAGAAAACTTCTAAGTGAAAATGTCCAAATTGTTCCCAATTAGCCATTTTCCCGTTAGTGTTACAAGGTCTCAGGTGTGAATGGGGAGCAGGTGTGTTCAATTTGGTGTCATCGCTCTCATACTCCCTCATACTAATCACGGGAAGTTCAACATGGCACCCTAAAGATGATGCACAAGAAAGCCAACAGTTTGCTGAAGACAAGCAGACTAAGGACATGGATTACTGGAACCCTGTCCTGTGGTCTGATGAGACCAAGATAAACTTATTTGGTTCAGATGGTGCCAAGCATGTGTGGCCTACAGGCAAGCATGGTGGTGGGAGTGTCATGGTCTGGGGCTGCATCAGTGCTGCCGGCACTGGGGAGCCAAGAATGCCAACATGTACTGTGACATATTGAAGCAGAGCATGATCCCCGCCCTCTGGAGACTGGGCCGCAGGGCAGTATTCCAACATGATAACGACCCCAAACACACCTTCAAGACAACCACTGCCTTGCTAAAAATGCTGAGGGTAAAGGTGATGGACTGGCCAAGCATGACCTAAACCCTATTGAACATCTGTGGGGAATCCTCAAACAGAAGTTGGAGGAGCGCAAGGTCTCTAACATCCACCAGCTCAGTGATGTCGTCATAGAGGAGTGGAAGGGGACTCCAGTGGCAACCTGTGAAGCTCTGGTGAACTCCATGCCCAAGAGGGTTAAGGCAGTGCTGGAAAATAATGGTGGCCACAAAATATTGACACTTTGGCCCCAATTTGTTAGTTTTTTTTGTTTGATTTTTAAAAAACTTGTCCTGCCCTGCAGCCTGGTATAGAGTATGAGGGGCTGGATACCATATTGTGCCAGACAGATTTTACTTTAACAAGAGAGTATTAATATACTCCTTTGTCTGTTTTATTATTTATTTAAATTTATTTGTCACCGGGCCAGACAGGGGACAGACAATTTGGACATTTTCACTTAGGGGTGTAATTACTTTTGTTGCCAGCGGTTTAGACATTAATGGCTGTGTGATGTGTTATTTTGAGGGGACAGCAATATTACACTTTTATACAAGCTGTACACTCACTGCTTTACATTGCAGCAAAGTCTCATTTCTTCAGTGTTGTCACATGAAGAGATATAATCAATTATTTACAAAATGTGAGGTGTGTACTCACTTTTCTGAGACACCGCACACCCATGCACAGAATGATACGCACAAACATGCAATTTGCACACACACAAAGTCACTCTGGCTTTCTGCCAGTTGATAAAAAATATGTTGGAATGAGGGATCGAGGTGATCAGCAGAGCAGTTAGCTTGTGTGATTGTCTGCGTTTCTGAGAAGCCCCGGTGCCCTTTTAGGCTCTCTGGTTGGCACCACATCTCCAGAGATTGTATTTGCTGGGATAACATCACATTTGACTTTCCCAGCGAGCCATTCACTTGCCTCTGATACAGTGGGTTGTGTGTGTGTCATTTTGGGTATGTGTGTGTGTTGCTTCTGTCGTGGCTGTGCTAGGGGCACAGGAGATTGAATAAAAAACGAGGAAAGAGAGAGACAGAAAGAAGAGCAACAAAAAGGAGGAAGATGAAGACCCTCGGGGGGGTCTGTAAAGGCTGCATACAACCTTTCAGAAACAAGCTTTTGAAGTGGAATTCACTTAAAGACAGCAGAAAGGCAAAGATTGAGAGAGAAAATGGGGAGGATGACACAGACAAGAGAAAGTGATGGGGAGGGGATAATTGAGTGGGGAGAGAGAGCCATAGAGATGGAAGTGGTTGTTGTTGTCATTAAAGCCTGAAGGACGGACTACAGCACTGTGGAGGCTGACAGGGTGAGCAGAGAAGAATGCCTGAGTTCAGGTCTGTTTTTTCAGGAGTCGGGTTTTAGGAAGGCGTCTGTCATGTTAAATGTGTAGCTTGTGTACCACCACAAAAAGTACACGCCACATGTGTACTACCACATGCACACACACAACTGAAAAAACACATAAGATTCAAACACAACGCATATAGAGTTGAATGGAACAATTTTACACAGATTTCCGAGAGATAATGTATCTGCAAATTTTTTGATGAATTACTATTACTAATTTCAAGCACAACTGCCAAACATTTGTTGGTTTTAGTTTGTTAAATGGGCATAGCTGCTTTATCTTTGTGATAAGGGATAGCAACTGACATTTGGACTGTTTGTAAGACAAAACAAGCTATTTAAAGATGTAATTTTGGGCTGTTGGAAGGTATTAACAACCTTTTGACCTTTTAATAGACTAAAAGATAATAATAATACATATTAATAATTAATTAATCAAGAAAATAGATGGAAGCCTAATTGATAATGAAAATAATTCTTAGTTGCACCTCTCTATGCTTGTATGGAGCTACTTAGTGATTAAAATATAGCCTACATAAATTTGTAGATACCGGCATCTTCTATGTTATTTACTTGTACATTTCAATTTCTCTGGTGCATATTTGTATTTGGACAGTTAATAGACTGTATATAAAAAAGTTACAGCCATTTTTTTGCATAGTTTTAACATACATAAAAGAAAGT